GCACACAGTATTAGAATAAATCGAAAAACTTTTAGTTCAATGACTACATTGTATATACAAAACATTCACTCGCTGCTGCAAAACGTGTGTAAACTAGAGTAGAAAATTTAAACGGCTGTCCATACATCCATACATATTTGCAATGAGTCACACATTTCTGATATTTTTGCCATTAAATATCCAATGCATGCAAACACTACATTTAATTTTTGCTAAATATAATACTCAACGGCTGTTTGACAATCATTTAAACGGAAAACTCATTCACATATTTATTTATAATATTTCGCTAATATTTCCGTTTTCTCTCTGTTTATGAATGCTTTGCACAGAATTTAGTCAGCGATGCGTCTAAAGTGTTGTCTGAGACGACTGGCCTATATTTCTCGGAAGTGACCATAAGGGTGCCAAACGGGTGGACCACTACCCCCAACACTACTGTCCAAATACGTGATACCGACGCAGATGTTATCGTTATAAACAGAGGTATTTAAAGAAATTAGCTTTTTATAGCAATTGAAAAAAGTTTTGCAAACTTTTTTTTGTTGCTGTGTGAGCAACACATGAATGCATTCAATTGCCTAACACTTAGCTAATAATTATGGCAATGAATTAACGTTATTACCACTCATTGAATAAGATGCGCCTAAAAGTAGTAATTTTCTCCTAATTATAAAATTATGTGCTATTTCTTAGACGTCGAGCAATCATTTTGCATGCAATACGCCGGTTGTGGTGAACCCGCACTTCCTATTACGGTCACCAAAAAGACGGTCACAGATGGTAACGGCGCTAAGCAACTGATCCACGAGTGGGCGCACTATCGGTACGGCGTGTTCAACGAGTTTGGCTTCAAGTCGGACCCCTTATATCCCGCGTACTATAGTATAGCCGGAAATCCTAACACCAGTGAAATACTTATCAACTCGTGCGCCGACAGAGAGTTTAGTTATAGCACTGAAACGGGAACGGGTAGTAAGTGCGAACTCGACACCAGTAATACCACGGGATTACCTACCGATGACCACTGCCAGCCCATACTCACCCAAACCAATAAGTTCGAGTCGTCCCTAATGTTCGCCCATTCAGTGGAAAGTGTGAAACACTTTTGCGGTGACACACGCTCTGGCGGACAGGGATCTCATCGACATAACAGCAAATCCCCGAACAAACAAAACGTTTTGT